CACCTTGCACCTCCATCTGGAGTTAGCCCGTCGACGGCGGACTGCGGCAATTCTTCAATGTATGCCATTGTTTGAAAAGAGGAGAAGCTTGATCAAGAGGTTTTGTTCTGCCTGTTTTTCCCACAAACGGCGCCAATTGTACGGGAAAGAAATACACCTTCTCGTATAATCCTATTGATCAAGTCTACTCCTCCGTACGTCGTTGCTTTTCCACCTGAAAACACAAACGTGAGCTAGCCGGCGGGTGTGTGCCGGAAACCTCTCCGATGCCTAAGTCAGTAAGCTTGACAAATAGACAAAAGCTCTGTGTATTCAGAAGGCAAAGTTGTGTGTTACCTCCCCCAAGGTGATGTCTGTGAGCTTTTATAGGTTTTTGCTTGGCACAATCCTAGTAGGACTTCTACTTCTCCATGCAGAGTCCTCCTAGGATTCATACTCCTGAAAGATAATGCTTATCCTTCAACACCCCCCTCACTGCTTAAACCAAGTGAGATGGTTTTTACCATGGCCGAACTACCACATGACCGAAATAATACTGGCTATGCTGAGCCACAGAGTAGGCCGAACTATCCTTAGTTCGGTTCTTTCTTTTCTACTCCCTATCTCGGTTCTTTCATGTACAAACCATGGTGTGTTCAAACCGAGCTACCAAGTAACAAGGTTCTAGCTGTTTTAGCCATAATATGCCATGACCGGACTACCTCTACGACCGGCCTAACTTCAAGTCGCCGCCGGACCAGAGTGTCTTTACATTTATCTTGGGCCGGAGTAACTTTATACCTCTATTGGGCCGGAGTAACTTTATACCTCTATTGGGCCGGAGTAACTTTACGACCTCTATTGGGTCAGAGTAACTTTACGACCTTTTTACTCAGTCCTTCGTATTGTGGGCCATAATGACCCATCTCCCAGCTCAGCCTAATTTTCACCAAAATTACCCTCTCAGATACTCACTGGTATACCGGTGAGAATGAATTTCGCGTCTATAACGTCTGAGTCCCGGTACGTAGCGGCTTGAATCCGATACATGGGCCGATACGGACTAATACAGTCGGATACAGATTCGCTTTTGTTGTTGTGCTCTGTTTTTTGTATTGCTCTGTTTCTATTTCTATTTCTGGTTTTTTTTTTTTTTTTTTTTTTTTGCCCCATATTCAATTGGGCTTTTTTTTTTCGGGTTTTTTTTTTTTTTTTTGTCGTCGATCTAAATCTGAATTTGTTTTTTTTGTTGATCAATTTGTATTTCATATTCAGAAGAATTTGTTGATCAAGTTGATCGAATTCAGAATTCAAAAAGTTGATCGACAACATGTATATCCATTTCTTACCTATTCCATTGTCGATCAATTTGTTGTTGTGCTCTATTTTTTTTTTTTCTTTTCTATTTCTGGGTTTGACGGGAAGTTGATCAACTTCCGATCAATTTGTTGTTGTGCTCTGCTTTTCTTGTAAATGTTTAAGTTTATTTATTTATTTATTTATACACCTACACCTCTATTTATATATATATATATATATTTTCTCAATACAAGAAAAATAAATATTCAAATCAATTTTTTTATTAAAAGTTCAACATATGCCAAAAATAAATACATATCATTTAGTTGAAAATGAGTCAAAAATGATCCTACATATCAAAATTTTGATTAAAATGTAACAAATTAAGGTTAAAAGAGTCAAAAAAAATGCATAAAATTTAGTTTTGGAGGGATTGTTAATGATTTTTAAAATTTCACGGTCGCGACACCCGATTCCTGATATGTATCGGCCGCTACTACCATACCGATACTCCGCGATCGATACCGTTACGTTACCCGATACTGCGATTTAGAACTATGATTATAACATTCTTCTGCGAACACAAAGAAGCAAGCATTTATTCTTGTACTGTTCCTCTTCAGTGTTCTTGAAGATCAAATAGTAAAATAGAGAAAGCTTCCTTCATAATGATTTATTCTTTGTATTGTTTCTAAGTTGTTTTCTACTTCCCAGCATCGTCTTAATTTATCAACAAATGCTAATGCTTTGTTTGGTTCACTAAAATAAAATGCAATGATCATTCCATTATAATGTTTATTCTGACGTTTGATTCACAATTAAAAAAATATCACAAATGAAATCATCATTAATTACTACAACAGAATACTCATCCCACTACATTTCTATTTCATTCTAATTAACCAAACACTCATAATAGTAATAGAGAAACTTTCCTTTTGCTTGTGGGTTGTGGCTAACAAAAAACTTCTTTTTTTTTTTTTGATAACTCAGGGTGTCCAGGCCAGCTTGCGCGCACCTCGACTAATCCCTGGGGGACCAATCCCACCGTCCACTAACGGGGGCCCATTTAAAGCCAGAGCAAAACTCTATATGGACTGGCCCAATATAAGAATTGATAGCACCTAAGAGATTTTGAACTTAAGACCTAGAGATGAGCAACAAAAAACCTTCTTATGTTCTTTTCTTGAAACCATGTTTTGAGTTTGATGGAGGGGAGAGTAACCATTCTTCAATGGAGGGTATTATATAGGTGGATGGAGACAGAATTTTAGTTCAGTAACCAAAAGTTTAGATTGCATTGTTTTTTCCCCTTAGATTGGGTTGTTGGGTTGAGAAGTAGATTAGTTTATGATTTAAGGTCCCAAAATATTTAATTTCAACTTAGGGATTTTCCCGGTATAAAATCCTTAGAGAGATGACCAATTTGGGATTGATATAGGTTTAGTTAGAAGCAAAAATCTAGTGATATTATTTGTTCTACATTTTGTTGAGGTCCCGTCTCACCTAAATCATGATGTACCAAAAATCAAACACTAAAGAAGCCTGTTCAGCTTTATTTTTAAAATATTCTTTACTGTTCTAAATTGTTGAACAAATCAGTGAGGAGAAATGAATGACGCCGAACCTACAATAGAAGTTGCTGACACCGGTTTCTGAGAGGGACAGTGGACACTGATGAACGTTGTAACAGAAATATAGAGCTTTGTTAAAGCAGAGTAGGATGTTATCTGAAGAAATGTTTTCTTTCTTTTTGACCAATAATACTAAGATCATTGCAAATTTCAAACCGAAAAAACCGTGCTTAAGATTTTTGCTCCGAAAATTAATTAAAAGTTACTAAATAATGTTCATCTATGACATTAAAAATATTCTAGGAGAAGTCTTTCATCAAGTGAGCAGTTGAGTAGCACGAAAATTAATTTTAAAGCTAGTACTTTCATGTAAATGAACTCTGAAATATACACCTTGATATTTGGTTAGAATCAACATTGAGATTCACTTTCAAATGTATTTTATTATTATCATTCCATTAAATTTGAAACTGAAATTTTTTTACTCAAATTGAATACTTTAGGAATGACATTGCCAAAATAAAATTTTTAAAGACAGAGTGATACAGAATACATATTTTAGCTTCCTTTGTGTCTTATTATCAACAAACACTAATGGAGCAACCTTGCTTGTGCTTGTGGCTAACAAACTTCTTATATCCTTAATGCTGTGTTTGGTTGGGGGATTTGGAGAGGGAAATGGAAAAGGTAGGTGAAATGTGAATAAATCATGCCTATATTTCACATAGTTTCACACACCTTTTCCCTTTCCCTTTCCAAATCCCTCCTCAAATCCCCCAACCAAACACAGCATAAGGGAATCCATATATATCTTTTGAGTTTTCATGGAGGGGACATTATATCATTCTTCTATGAATGCATAGAAGCAAGCATTTATTTTTTGTACTGTTTCTAAGTTGTATTCGGCTTCCTTGCATCATTTCGATTATCAACAAATACTAATACTCTGTTTCGTTCATTAAAACATAATACAATGATTATTTCATTATAATGTTTATTTTCACATTTGATTCATTAAAAAATGATGAAAAATAAATGTATAATAAATAGAATCATCATTCATCATTATAAGGAAGTACTCATTCCACTAAATTTCTATTTCATTCCAATTAACCTAACACTCCATAATAGTTTTTTCTTGACTAACAAACTTCTTATATTCTTTTTATTGAAACCATGTCTTTGAGTTTGATGGAGGGGCAAGTAACCATTCTTCTGAAGGAATGGATTATATATATGGGTGGATGGAGACAGAATTTTGATGTTACCTAGAAATTTAGAACTATATATGAATGTAAAGGTACTTGAAAATTGAACGAAACAGAGTGATAATTTAAACGAAAATATAGTTCCACATAACATAAACATAAAAACTGGAAAGAAAAAAAGAAATAATGTATAGAGGAGAACACATGAGGCAATAGGTTTCAACTTAATTGAATCAATTACACTTATAATCAGGGCATACAATAATGCTTCACACCAAAATAGATTGCTGAACTGGACACAGAATTTTATGTGGCCTAAAACATCAGAGGAGGTAGTTGCATCATTCATATGCTGGGTATAATAAAAACAGCAACCAAAATCACCAATATAAAGAAAAATGTCTGCGTCTATAGATGCTATTTAAAATTTCGGTGTCGCTCATCCCCTTTCATAACAGCATGAAAATTAATTTTAAATTTTAAAGCTGGTACTTTTACGTAAATGAACTCTGAAATACACACCTTGCAATTTGGTTGGAATCAACACTGAGATTCACTTTTGGATGTATTTTAATATCATTCCATTAAATTTGAAACGGCTAGTGAATATGAGTTGAGCCAAAATGCCTAATCATATGCCTAGTGCATTGGAATTCAAAAAAATGAATTACACTAGGCATTTTAACTAACAAGTATTATATGCCTAGTGCATTGGAGATGCTCATTTTGCCTAGCGTTGAAGGCTAGCTACATGTGGCTAGTGAATATGAGTTGAGCCAAAATGCCTAATCATATGCCTAGTGCATTGGAATTCAAAAAAATGAATTACACTAGGCATTTTAACTAACAAGTATTATATGCCTAGTGCATTAGAGATGCTCTTAGATATAGATATGAATAAATAAAGAGATGGAATAGGCAACGCATGAGGTGGCCAAAGTATGCCTGAACTGCCAAGTCGTATGATATCTAGGAAATAATTTTTCCCTAAAAATACGGAGTCAATAAAAGTTCAGTGATGTTACTACATTCTTATGCAAAACATTAGCTCTATATTACATAATGAAGAATAAAAAAAAGTAGAAAGAAAAAAACAAAAACAAAATTTAGATTAGAGATACAACAAGAAGGAATGTATGACCATAAGTTTGTCCAAATTAAAGTTACGTAGTTGTGGTTATCATGAAATAAATCTTGATGACAGAAATCCAATACATTGTCTTGGCAAACAACAACATATAAAAAATAAAAAAAGTAAAATACCATAATAAACATGTCCATGTTGGCAGAGATGACAATCTTTGTTTGTTTGTGGTTGCCTCTGCAATTGAATTTCCTTCCACGATAAGCGCCTGCAGCAAAAGACCTAACAATTACAAACATATACTAAATGTAAGGAGATGCAACATATCAATGGACAAGTGATTTAGACTTATTTTTTTTTGATAAAAAAATTTATTTTTTGTGATTCTGACCTTAAAAATGATGGTATGTTAGTGGTTATGATAGTGGTGTAGGAGGTGGGAAAGTGAGCGGAGGTGTAGTGGTGGCAGTGATTGTAACAAAAGTAGTGATATTAATAGGGTAGATGGTAAGTGGCGATAAGGCTGACCAAACTTTCAATAAGGCCTAAAATAAAATCTCAATAAAATCGTTTTTATATTTTAATAATACTAATTAAATTTTGTGTAATCAAAAGAGTTTTTTATGGGTTCTTACTCCAAACGTTTTGTTACAAGCCTTTGATAAGAAGTATGTTTTTAGTAGCTACGATTGAAGATTTTTAACAATGATCTTTTTCCTGATATCAAAGATAAGAAAGATTATTTATTTATTTATTTATTTTAACATTTAAATGAGGAGTATAACCTTTTAGACTTTAAATAAAGATTGTTAAAAATTAGGAAATTTTTATGGTACACATCCCCTCAAGGGTGTGTATCATATGCACCATGTCATGTATTTTTATGGTGTTTGTTATGTATTTTTGTGGTAAATATTATATATTGTTTTGATAGTGTTACAATAATTTTTGATTTAAAAATGAAATTATGCATTTTGTAATAATGCTACATTTGTTTATCCAAAAAAATTTTAACCACAAAAATGCATAATATTACCACAAAATGTGTAACTTGATTTTTGAATCACAAATTATCGTAACTCTATCAAGAAAATACGTAATATTTGTTACAAAAATATGTAACAAAGGTGCATGTGATACACATTAATATTATATTTGGTTATGAGATGTGATGAAAAGAAATAATTATTCCATAGGTTCTCCTTAAGGAGCATATCTTTTTAGTTTTTTTTTTTTTTCCTTTATATAAAATGGTCCAAAATTTCAAACCCAAAAATCGTTTTTTAATGATTTTTTGAAGTATTTTTTTTAAACTTTTTTATGAGATGAAAAAATGTTAATGAGAATGAATTTTTTTAAGTTATATTGAAAGTTGTGAATTCTTATTTTTTTAGCAATTTATTAAGTTTTTGATTTTTTTAATGATTTTTTAACTTTTTACTGATGTTTTGACTAATAATAAAATAGTCAAAAAATAAAGTTGCAAATGGGCTCTAAATCAAATATATCTATGACATTAAGTTAAAGAAAAAAATTACAGAAAAAGAATTTCAAAATTTGATAATTGTTATAAAAAAAATATATATTTTTAAATTTATCAATTTAAAACCTAAACTTGTTAAACCATAAGGCTATTTTTGTTAAGTAAAATTGAAGGAAAAATGATACTTTAGTCATTAAACTAGGGTAGGTGTATACAAAATGTCAAAATATATATTTTTTCTGTTGATTTTAATGATTAAAAAACCATTTTTTCCTCATTTTTACTTAACTGAAATAGACAGATGATTTCTATTGAAAACAAATTAAAATTTTAATATTTAAATTGATAAAATTAAAAAATTATGATTTATTTGATTACAAGGATAAAAAGGATTTTTTTTCTTTTATAATTTTCCCTAAATTAAAATATGCTAAGAGAAAGAAACATTTCATAAAGTGAGTGATTTGGGAACTAGTTAAAATAGTTAAAAGTCACTACATAAAAAGTCAAACACAGCAATCCATTTTAATGATTAAAAAACCATTTTTTCCTCATTTTTACTTAACTGAAATAGACAGATGATTTCTATTGAAAACAAATTAAAATTTTAATATTTAAATTGATAAAATTAAAAAATTATGATTTATTTGATTACAAGGATAAAAAAGATTTTTTTTCTTTTATAATTTTCCCTAAATTAAAATATGCTAAGAGAAAGAAACATTTCATAAAGTGAGTGATTTGGGAACTAGTTAAAATAGTTAAATGTAACATAAAAAGTCAAACACAGCAATCCAGTTGAGAGCATACCTGAAAGTTAATTGAATTAGCATTCAACTTTGAGTTTCATTTTTAGCTTCCTAACCCTTGCGTTTTCCACCTTCCGATTGAAATAATTTTCAAGACTGTTGTTTATAGTATAACTATTTGCTTTTTCAATTCGGGAACAGAGCCAGACTTCAGGGATATGCTTGACGATCCAATGGTCTTTTCCTTGGTTGGGTTTGGGTTCCATTCTATCTATGAATTCTTCTGGCATACCAATAAACTGAAGAGTTTTGAGGTTTCTGAGATGGTAGATGCCAGATGGTACCTCCTTTAGTTGTGGGCTAGGCTCAATCTCTAGATTTTCAAGAAGAGGCAACGCTCCTTCCTCTATTATCATCGAATTCAATCCCTTGCACCCTACCAGAGCTAGTTCCTTGAGTTTTTGAAACCTTCCGACCTCAAAATACAACTGCTCCTCATCATATGCATCCCAAAGCGTAAGCATTACTAAACTAGGCAAGACTTGAAGGGCTTTTAGAGGATTGTTCTTGGTCAAACTTGAACCCAATAGAAGTAATGTGACTAAATTTTGAAGTTTCGGGATCCAGTTGGGCAACTTCTCTAAACGTCCACGCAAGCGGAGACGTTGAAGATATTGAGGTGGAGATGATGATGATATATGCTGTAAATCTAGAATCTCATCTACACTTGAGGCCTCTACACTCAAATTTTGAAGGTATTTCATCTTCTCAATGGCTGCACATAGAGCCCTCCCATGTTCTCTTTCCAATTTCGTAATTCCCAACTTCCTTAGCTGCCTCAATTTCTCAAGCTCTTTAATTAGGCCATGATTTGTCTCCACAAAACACAAAATTTGCAGCTCCTCTAAACCCCCAATCCCTCCCTGTATCTTCACTCCGACTACATTGTTACAAGAATAGGCAAGAAGATGTCGCAACTTACGGAGCCTACTAATATCAAATGGGAGCTCACTCACGGGGGAATGTCGCAGATCCAAAGTCTGTAAGTTTTGCAACTTGCCTATGGACTTTGGAATTATCTTCACTTTTGTGCTGCTTATGCTTAGGTATCTCAAAAGAAATAGATTTCCCACTTCTTCATCAAGTTGATCCAAAGGAGCATCCTCAAGATCCAGCACTTTCAAAAGCTTGAAATTTGCAGCTACTGTACCCAATAAGGGCTTCTTTGGCAGCTTTCCACGTTGAAAAAGAAAAACAGAATGAACTGGGGATTTACCAATGCTTTCCATAACCTTATCCATGTTGCAATAACGCATATGCATAGATAGCCACCGAGTTGTGTCATTGAAACTTGAATTCTCTTTTTCCAAAATTTGACACAAACTAAACTCCTTGGACAATGAGAGAATAATCTCGCGCACTACATCATGTACCTGACACTTTCCAACTCTTCCATCAAATTTTTTTGTTGACACTAGAACTAAGCGTCTATGGATCAGCTCAGTCAAGTATTCTTCTGCAACTTCTTCCAATGTTTTTCCTTTCTGCTCTTCAACAAAACCCTCAGCTATCCATAGCCGAATCAGTCTCCCAGCATTGATAGAGTAGTCTTCTGGCATTATGCCAAAGTACAAGAAACAAGATTTGAGGTGGTGAGGCAGATCATTGTAACTGAACAACAAAATTTTGCTAATGCTTTTAAGATTAGGATTCCTTTCCAACTCAGAGTTCATGCTACCATAGAATTTTTGCCATTCGGATATACCCTTGTTTTTGGTGGACAAGAGACCACCTATAGCTGCAATTGCAAGTGGCAAACCTTTACACTTTCTAACAATTGCATGTGATACTTCCTCCAACTCAGGGGGACAATGACCCTCAAAGTCCAATTGGAAGGCTTTCTTGCAAAAGAGTTCCCAAGCCTTCTCTTCGGATAGGGCTTCAAGCTCGTGGACATGATCCACTGAAGTTTCTTTGCAAAATGTAGCAACCTGTTCACTGCGTGTGGTGATGATTACCCGACTGCCGTCACTATTTTTGGGTAAAGCAAGTCTTATGGATCCCCAAAAATCAGTTTCCCATACATCATCAAACACAATGACGGACCTCTTTTCAGATAAATATCCTCTTAACTTGACAATGAGTGACTCAATTCCCTCATCAGGTAGAACATAAATTCCTGATAGCTGCTTTATCATTGTTTTGAGGAGCTCCTCTGGTTTGTATGATTGAGAGACAGTGATCCACGCTTTACAAATGAAGTGTGCAACCACTTCTTGGCTGTCATAAACTTTCTTGGCAAGAGTGGTCTTGCCAATTCCACCCATGCCAACCACCGAGATCACTGCTCGTTGTGATTGATTTTGGTCAACCAATCTGCTTATCAGTTCATATTTGGGAGATTCAATGCCAACGACTTCATCGTCCCCTATGAAAAGGGAAGCCAGTCGAGGGTCACGCCACATGTTGTCCTTGCTGTTGTTGCTGCTATGTTCTAACGAAGTACTAGTACTGAATCCATATCGATCCGCTCCTTCCTTGATCTCACGGATTGTAGTTTTGATGTCTTGGATCTGAGAAGCTATCTCATGTCGTGGCTTTAGCTTAGTGATTGTCCGAGTGACTTTATGCAAGGAACCGAATAGTCCAGGTTGTTTTGGCAAAACCAAGAGAATGTGTTCATCGATAACATCTTGTATCCGATAAGCAACTTGTCTTACTTGTTTCACCCATATTTTCACACCTTCATCTCCAGTTTCTGCTCTTGATTCTGCATCTTTTAAGAATGAGTGTATGCGCTCCAATTCAGCTTTGATACTGACCATTTCCTTGCGGACACCCTTCAACAACTCTACTTCTCCAGTTAACAATGGTGCCAAATATTGAATAACAGAGCTCACTGCTCTTTCTGCCATTACTTATCCCTGCACTAAACACACCATCATGATTAGTTCCAATTATGCTTAGTGTGTGATTGTGTCCACGTAGAAAGGAAATTAGATGTAGTCTGGGTCCTCTAAAGTAGATGGTAAAGTGATTTATAAAGTAAAAAAAAAAAAAAATTGATTGGTTTATTTTTTTTTAATTTTTCACCAATTTTTTTTTTTTTATAATTTGTTTGGGAAAAATTCAGAAAATTAATTATGAAAATCAAATCAAACCAAACCAAACCAACCAGACAACATTCCCAGGGTCTAATATAATCATATTTAAGGCAACAAGTCAAGCCATGTGACCTTGTAATTAGATGGTCCAATCAAGCTGAAAAATTAATAATAATTACTATAAATTCCATTGATTTTGACTGAGTTTGAAAAAATTACAAGCTCTATAAATTTGACATAACTATACCAACTCTTTTTTAATAAAGCTAAGCTAAAGCAAAAGAAATTAATACAAATGGCGTAGACACAATTATGATTGATGATAACATATATATACTAGTGGTAGGCACACATATCGCTTGTGTAATTCAAGTAAAAATAAAACCAAATTTTTACTATTATATAAGTGTTTCTTTATTTGATCGATGGTTAAGGTTTGAGTCTTGATCTTTCCATTTATCTAATTTTTTTGCTTTAAATTAAAAAGTGAACACTTGCCAGGGTAAGAAGTTGAGGACACCGGGATGTTCATTTCGTATAGATATATATTTATTTATTTATTTATTTCGGTGTAAAAGATATACAAACTCAACAATATCATCATTCATAGATTTGAGTAGAGATTCGTGGATGAGTTACTTAAATCATGATCCAAAACAGAAAAAGATAGTAATGGGTTGTAGAAACATACATACCAGCAACCAAGCAGAGATTGATGATTAGCAACTCTGCAAAGAAGAAATGGATATGAAGATCCCTAAACCAAACCCTGGGAATTGCTTTTGTTGCTTTTGTGAGATTTCAGCAAAAGCTTCACTCTATGAATGAGTTAGGCTTCGTTTTTGGAGAAGAAAGACTTGACTTTGTAGACGACTTGGGTATATTATGAGGAAAAAGAAAAGAAAAGAAAACCAAGGGTAGTGACAACAGAAAAGACATTTTCTCTTTTTATTAGTATTTATTTGGCATGCCCATTTGTACTAAAATAATGATATAAGATAAAATTAACTATTTTAATTTAATAGAATAAAATATTATATTTAAATTATAATTATTTTATTTTATTTTTTTACAAAAATCAAAAAAATTATCTCAAATGAGATTTTTTAATCCCAAATTAAAATAGTTCAAAAAATTAAAAAGTTAAAAAATTAACTCACATTCCAAACGAAAGTTTAGATGAGTGGAAAAACAAAAAAAACATAAACAAAGAAAAAAGTGAAAGAGAAATACGAGTGATTTTTGTTTTTATTTTATATTTTGATAGATAATTCTGGTATTATAAAATATATATATATACATACAATCAATTGCCTATTACAATTTTTTGGACATATAATCTTTTGATCATATTTTTTTGAATACATATATTTTATATATGTATACAAAGTTATCTGCTTTGGGTCCTAAAAAAAAAAAATCAAAGTCAGACTTTGTCACCTTTAGTTAAATCTCTTTTCTTTTTTGGTGAGAAATAAATATGACATTATTAGAGAGTACTATTTCTCACAATTTTTTTAAAAAAAATTAGTGAAACATTCCTCTTTAAATTTTGATAGTTATATTTTTTCTTATTAGTTAAGGTCAAAAATTTCTTTGTGACAAACTAAAATTCTTTTGTAAAATTTTTGAAATTTCTCTGTGAAGACAAATTTCTTTACAAAAATATTGAGAGACCCCAACTATTATAAAAAAATATTACAATTTCTTTATTTTAAAAAATTTTAATATCAAAAACCTTAAACTAAAACCCCCTTTTTTTAACCTAATTTGTAAACTAAACATGAAAATTAATCATTTTACTCATAATTTTTTTTTATCATCTCTCATCAAATCACTCAATTCAAAAAAAAAAAAATTGTTCAGTTGGATTTGATAATTACTTTTTTAGTAAATTTTTATTTTTTTAAAGATAAAATTGTTGTTAAAAAAAGTTGATATGTTTGACAAATTCTAAGAAAATAGCTTTTTTATTTGAAAAAGTTTTTAATTATCAAATTTTTGGTGTTTAATGATCTGTTTTTAGATTTTTTTTTTTTTCCTTCTTTTTTTTATCCTTCTATGTTAATCTAGACTAGAAGGGCCTGAATTTTTTAAAAAAAATAATAATAATACAAATTTTAAAAAAATTTACTAAAGACAAATTCTACAAAAATATATATATAATTGTTTTCGCAGTTGCCAAACAAAAATGAATCTTGTTTAAAAAAATAAAAAAAAATAAAAAAATAAAAAAAATCTCAATTGTTGGCTAAAAAAACCATAGCCAAATGGTTATTTTTTTAACTTAGATAACCAAAAAACAATAATAATTACCCAAACAGTTGTTTTTTTTCAATTTAAATAACCAAAAAATAACTAAAAAAAAGAGTGAATAATATGGAGAAAATAAAGTAAAATAATAAAGTAAAATAAAATGACTACTCAGCTCATGAACCTGCATTTAAACGGAAAAAGAGAAGCATTTTATTTTTCTCAGAAGTCTTGCTTTTAAAAGGAGAAAAGCAAAAATACAAGAAAAAGCAAGCAAATCATCACGCATATGGAAAAAGTGTGTCCCCCCTTCTTATCATCAATCACAACCACTATCACTACTTCCACTACCCACATTCCACCTAATTGCGCACCACAAAAAAAGTGTTAAAGACTACATTCCACTAAATTGTTGGCCCAATTTACATTCAACTGTTGTTGATATATACACGTTTTCTTATGAAGTGAATCATAAAATCGACCAAGTGAAGATGAGAAACTACACTCATCTAAGTCATCTTCAGATAAATAAGCCAATCCAACGACTCACACCATGTCCAAGAACTTAATCTTTGGCCCCCTGTTTGGCAGACATGTTTTAGTGAAGCAAGAAAATAGGACTCGGGATTACATATATATATATATATATATAATTGTTACTAATGGTGTAAGTTGTCTCTACTAATGTCTTCCAAGGAAAAATTATTCAACTTCTTAGAAACACATATTTTAGTATTTCACGAATAGAACACAACTTGTCTCATAGTGAGAGCTCACAATAGATCTTCATCAATCTCTCTTGGATGTATATTGCTTTGCTACCTGGCAAATTACCCCCTCCTTGCTGCCAATAACCACCCTAAATTTGCATGCTCTGAGAATAAAACAAATCTTTTTAGCCAAAATAATGATGTAAAATATATTATCAATAAATACAGATAAAAGATGAACAACCAAATAAATTGAAAACCAAAACTAGAATTACAAATCTTTGTGTCCGCATTCGTAAACTTGGTTGTCATTGACTATTGGTAAATGTGAACAGGCCAAATCTTTCAATACATAAGGTCAAGAGGATATGACTCATGATAAGGTGTACACATGCCAGACCTCTTGAGTCTACGGAAGCCAACTCAACCACTAATATGCATTACGTGACCAAAATATCCAAAGCCACATGCCAACGAACTTCCTTTTATTCCGAAACCCATTGGGAATCCAAATGCCTAAATTGATATCCCACAAGGTCACATAAGATATACTAGGATTGTTTGAAATGAAGAGACGACACTTGATTTGAAGAACTAAGAAACCATATCCACAAAATGACTACATGCAATACCTAGTCCCGTCATCACTAGAGAAACGGTTACCCAGCCATCTTGCCCAACCAAGCAGTTGTGACCTCTCTACTCATTACTCATAAGTTCATGGTTTAAAATTTAAAATAGAAAACAAATAGGACAAGAAATAGTAGAGAAATAGAGCAAGGAAAGGAAACAACTAAATAACAAGAGGATTCACATACTAAAAATAGAATGCTAAAGAAAATTAAAATTGGACCAACATGCATAATTCCATGTTGAGGAAGTATGGATGTTGTATAACTACTACTACTTGGAAAAAACATAACTTATTCCTCTTAGCATTAGTTTCATTACAAATATTTATATAACATTATCAACAAAAAAAAAAAATTCTCAAAATATCAACTACTTTCTCTTATCAATTTCGGGCTTCGCACTTTGATGGGTCTTAAAAACCTTTCGATGAGTACTGAAGTATACATAGGAACACATTTCTTTACAGAATAACACTGTTGTATATAACTACATATACGGTTTCAACCTACCTTAACTCCCAAACTTCCTAACATGAAAACCCAGGCACTTCAGAATGCCAAATCCCAACCCTGATCCAGCCTAGTTCCACAATTCATGCTTCTACAAGCAATGCAAGAAGTTGATTCTAGGAGCTACTATTTCCACATACCACTTTCTCTCAATTCACACACCAATTTTCTTCCATAAATCAATTTCAAAACGAAACTAAATGGTTTCGAACCATGTAATTTTGTTCGGAAGTTGATATCCGAACCAAAAAAGTGTATGCACTGAGAAAAATTAGCGTGTGGAAATTGAAGCTCTCCAAATTTCATGGGCAGAAGCTTGCCTGGTTGGATACACCGGGACTTCCATGCAGATAGGTAGAGAAAGCAAATTGCCTTGAGATATTAAATTGGCCATGGATTGTCCACAGCTTGCCTGTTTATCATTTGCTGAAGGGCCTCATATCGTCTATAAATTAGGAAGCAACTAATCCATGATCTTGCCGAAAAAAGATGGGAAAAGAATAGAAAACACATACCTTGAAACATTTAGGTAATTAGACACTTTTTCCCATGAGACCATTTGACGATTCCATTTTTTCTCTCCAGATTGCCAGTACTTCATCAGTTCTAAACCGCTGTGTGAATGTCGATTCCTCCAGCGGAGTTGACATCCCATTAGCATAAGCTAGGAGACCAGTATATGCAATCATTGCCCCATTGTCAATACAGTACCTGTCATCAGTTGCAAACAACCTTCCACCCCTCTCAGAGCACATGATTCTCATCATCTCTTGCAAGCGCTCATTGCAGCCCACACCACCAACAATGAGAACATCTTTCTTGTCAAAGTGTGCCATTGCCCGTTCTGTAATCTCCACAAGCATTGGAAACACAATTTCCTAAAACAATTTAAATTGAATGCAGAAATTGAGCCACAACTAGATCGTGTAAATATTTAACTAATACTTGCAATTTACAAGAAACAGACATACCAAATTACCAACTACATAACCTTTTTATCACCACAAAATATGTATTTTTTTTTTTATAACTATTGGAAGCATTCCAAATGATTACCTGAAGGGAATAGCACAAATCTGCAGGGGTGCATTCATTATTTTTTAGCTTTTCCTCAGCAGTAGCTTCAAGATAACTCAGTATTCCACTAAACGAAACATCCATTCCTTTGACAACATAGGGAAGGTGTATAAACTTTTCTCCTTTCTTCGCAAGCTAATGAAGAAGGGAAAAAAAAAAAGACAAATCAAGGAGAAAACATTTATTTATTGCATCATTTCAAGAACATTCTGTTTGTGAAAAAATAGCACATAACAGCCTGACAGGAGCTAAAGGCTATCTAAAAAAATTTAGAATATCTCCAAAACGAAAAATAAGCATAAAATAGCAAACCAAAATCCCAGAGAGAACCTTCATAAATGAGAGCTGTAATGAATCTCAAAGACATAATCTCAACTTACCCAAAAAATCTAAAACTACACATCAATCATGTAATATCAATGCAGTGCTTTGCTAAAATATAGAAAAACAAAAACAGAGAGATGAAGATATAATAAAAGCCCGTAGTTAAACACATTTTTAAAATATGATAATAAGAACAAATCAAATAAGATGAAGGTAGACTAAATATATAGGAGAAACATCAAAAAAAAAAAGACAGATAAAGCTTCTATAACAATTAATTGAACCTTGCACTAAATTCACCAATATCTACTGCTCACTGACCAAACCCACAATAGAACAAGAAGCACAAAAGTTGAATTGTATACAAAATCTACATAACAAGGAAGCTCTGTTTTTTTTTTTTTATGGCACTTTTGTCTATTTGTCAAATATGCACCATCAGATTGATTCAATCCAATGGTTGAGTTTGAAAACAAGGCAGAGTTTCAATGGTTGATATCAATGTGTTATTTACTTTGGAAGGTGCAGATTTAGCCCTTTCATCTGCCACTAACTCTCTCACATCTCAAACACGCCTGAGATTAAAAATAAACGCCTCAGAGAAATCCTCCCTCTTTCACCTTAATCATCAGTTTCTCAATGCTCAATAGGTTAGCTCTCATGACTACATTTGTTTCTTCAATATGACTATATTTGTTCATTCCTCATGATATTCTACTTCAGCCCAAAATTTAAGAAATTAGGATACTTTTAGGTAATTAGACACTTTTTTCCATGAGACCATTTGACGATTCCATTTTTTCTCTCCAGATTGCCAGTACTTCATCAGTTCTAAACCGCTGTGTGAATGTCGATTCCTCCAGCGGAGTTGACATCCCATTAGCATAAGCTAGGAGACCAGTATACGCAATCATTGCCCCATTATCAATACAGTACCTGTCATCAGTTGCAAACAACCTTCCACCCCTCTCGGAGCACATGATTCTCATCATCTCTTGCAAGCGCTCATTGCAGCCCACACCACCAACAATGAGAACATCTTTCTTGTCACAGTGTGCCATTGCCCGTTCTGTAATCTCCACAAGCATCGGAAACACAGTTTCCTAAAACAATTTAAATTGAATGCAGAAATTGAGCCACAACTAGATCGTGTAAATATTTAACTAATACTTGCAATTTACAAGAAACAGACATACCAAATTACCAACTACATAACCTTTTTATCACCATAAAATATGTATTTTTTTTTTAACTATTAGAAGCATTCCAAATGATTACCTGAAGGGAATAGCACAAATCTGCAGGGGTGCATTCATTATTTTTAAGCTTTTCCTCAGCAGTAGCTTCAAGATAACTCAGTATTCCACTAAACGAAACATCCATTCCTTTGACAACATAGGGAAGGTCTATAAACTTTTCTCCTTTCTTTGCAAGCTGATGAAGAAGGGAAAAAATAAAAAAGGCAAATCAAGGAGAAAACATTTATTTATTGCATCATTTCAAGAACATTCTGTTTGTGAAAAAATAGCACATAACAGCATGACAGGAGCTAAAGGCTATCTAAAAAAATTTAGAATATCTCCAGAACGAAAAATAAGCATAAAATAGCAACCAAAATCCCAGAGAGAACCTTCATAAATGAGAGTTGTAATGAATCTCAAAGACATAATCTCAACTTACCCAAAAAATCTAAAACTACACATCAATCATGTAATATCAATGCAGTGCTTTGCTAAAATATAGAAAAACAAAAACAGAGAGATGAAGATATAATAAAAGCCCGTAGTTAAACACATTTTTAAAATATGATAATAAGAACAAATCAAATAAGATGAAGGTAGACTAAATATATAGGAGAAACATCCAAAAAAAGACAGATAAAGCTTCTATAACAATTAATTGAACCTTGCACTAAATTCACCAATATCTACTGCTCACTGACCAAACCCACAATAGAACAAGAAGCACAAAAGTTGAATTGTATACAAAATCTACATAACAAGGAAGCTCTGTTTTTTATTTTTTATGGCACTTTTGTCTATTTGTCAAATATGCACCATCAGATTGATTCAATCCAATGGTTGAGTTTGAAAACAAGGCAGAGTTTCAATGGTTGATATCAATGTGTTATTTACTTTGGAAGGTGCAGATTTAGCCCTTTCATCTGCCACTAACTCTCTCACATCTCAAACACGCCTGAGAAATCCTCCCTCTTTCATACGCTCTTCTCTCTCTCACGACGACACCGCCACTCACCGACTACCGACCACCTCTCCTCACCTTTTGATGTCCTCTCTTCTCAAGACCACGGACTGTCTTCTCTTGCCCTCCTATTTCGCCTCTCTCCTCTTGCGACGACATTGCAACCATTCATAGGTAAACTACAACTTACAAATTTGCAATCCATGATATTTTTGTGGGTTTCTTTCCTCTTGGATTTGGGTTACAGGACTGTTCATGGGTTTTGGTAGATTTTTTGAGGATTTTATTGGATTTTAGAGATTTTGGACTGTATGTGTATTTTTGGTTCTTGCTTGAGTTTGGTGATGGATTTTGATATGTTCTTTTTGAAATGGGTTTCAGAATGTGTTTTTCTTATTAAAAAAATTGCTGAAATTTTGGGAAATTTTGGTTGATTGTTTAGTTTAAATTGTTCAAAATTTGAATTATTTTTCATATGGGTTACAGTACTGGTGATGGATTTTTCCATATGGGTTTTGAGGGTCTTTCCATATCTGAGCATTTAAGAGGCCTTCGTAGATAATCAGATTTTAAGAACAGGGCATGTATCTTTCCCTGATTAGTGGTTAATTATACCCATTATGACATGGATGAGTTTTGTAAATTGGTGCTAACATTTACACACAAACAAGGCATGTATCTTTCCTTGGTGTGATGTCTTCCTTTATATCTTTCACTAGGATTGTGTTTCGTAAATGAGTTTTGTTTCACTAGGATTGTGTTATACATGGATTGTTGAATGGTGAAGTCTGAGCACATTCTCTTTCATGTCCTTTATTCTTTTTCCTTGGCCAACATAGTTGTCAAATCGGAATTCGTATCGTGAATTGAAATGATGTCATACCGAATCGTGAATCAAATCGATTCGTGAATCGTAAAGATTCGGTCGCTTCTTCTAAATTATTTAAAAACATATATTTACACATTTAGATGTTAAATATATCTTATGAATATAAAATATTTAGACTTAAATCAATAAAAATGTTATTTTGAATGATAATCACGTAGTTTAATAAGTAAGAAGTTAACAAACGTTCCTATGTAAGATCACCATCTTATCTTGTTTTCTTTTTTAGATATTTCTTATCAACCATTCTTAATAAAAATAATAACCAAATAGACAAACTATCAATTTCTAAAGTAACAATAATTAACAACGATATTGATATTTGGACAATAAGCATACATACTTTTCTAAGTAACAGTGAGCAAATAATAAGAAAGAATCATTTAGAATCATTTTTTTTAAAGCCTAAAATATTTTAAAAATATGACTGACCTCATAGATGTAATATTTAATTTAAAAAAATAGCAATAGATAATTCATAGTGTAATTTTAATCTTAAACATCTTTAGAAGATATATTATGATTTTTTAAAGGAAAAAAAATAATGAGAAGAAAAGTTAAAAATATGTTGGGTCTGACTGAATCTAATTGGATCCTATTAAAAACTTCATGATCACTAAAATAACAACAAAGCATGTATTTATGCTGGTTATTTTCGTATTAAACACTATTAGAAGTTGTATTATGTCATTTTTACTAAAAAGATGGAGGAAAAATAGAGTCGAAATATGTCGGACACAATAATTTTAAAAATTGCATGAATCCTAAAAGTGAATCGAATCGTGAATCAATTGTGAATCGTGCGATTCACTAGAGATTCACTTCCAAAATAGATTCACCCTTAGATTCGTATCAATTTTGCAAAAATTGCGAATCGAATCGAGAATCGTAAGATTCTGATAACAGAACTGGCCAATATTTAGTGTTTTGGGCCTTAAGGAAAAGAACCTAAAGATTTTAATCAGCCTCTGTAGAAATACCTGCAATTAGCATTGATGTGTCCTTATTATCGGGAGCTAATTAGAAATATTGTTTTCATGTTTATTATCTCAGTAACACACATAAATTGCTATACTATTTTGTTTAATTTGACTATCAATATCATTCTTACATGTATCTTTCCCTGATTAGTGGTTAATTATACCCATTATGACATGGATGGGTTTTGTAAATTGGTGATAACATTTACCCACAAACAGGTTATGACATGGATTGTGTTATGCATGGATTTTTGAATTGGTGCAAACATTCTCTTCCCCTGGGATTTGAATTGGTGTTAATTATACACTAGGATTGTGTTATGAAATTTACCCACAAACACGTTATGTAAATTGGTGCTAACATTTACCCACAAACAGACTATCTTTCCTTGATGTCTTCCTTTATATCTTTAGACATGTTATGTTTCACTAGGATTGTATTATGCATGGATTTTTGAATGGTGAAGTCTGAGCACATTCTCTTTCATGTGTTTTATTCTTTTTCCCTGGCCAAGGAAGCTCTGTTTTTTATTCTTGATGGGACTTTTGTTTAAATTTACAATATTTATTCTTGATGGGACTTTTTTATTTTTATTTAAATTTACAATATTTATTATTCTCTAATCAAGTCATGTATAATATATTTATTCCATAGTGGCAATCCATCACCTAATTTTGTGGCAGACCAAACTAACTTATCAGTTTGAAGTGTAAGGAATAACGATTTCATTTCACTTCATCTCATTCCAGTGAACCAAATAAAGCATAAATGAGATTGAAGTCACCCAATTACTGTTCTAATAAATGTTTTGGGTGATTTCAATAAATGTGTGAATTGGGTTTCCTTTTTTAACATGAAAAGTAATGTTTTGTGATCTTTTGTTTTTATTTCATTGTCAAAAAATAGAATTATAGTGAGAAAGAAATAGCCCGTTGTACTTAACTTCTGGCACAATTAAGTAATCAAATAGTCATTGTACAGCCCATTGTTATTTAAACCCAATCTATTTATAGCAGTATTAAATGAGTTAAATTTAAACCCAATCTATTTATAGTACTATTAAATGAGTTATTTCTTCACTACAAGTCTGTAGTGTTTTAACCTCTTCCACAACCTTAGAGTTCATTTTAATTCAAATCATAGACAACATTCATATTTTTGGTTATGTATGTTTAGTTTATAGTTGATGAATCGAGACTTAATTTCATACTTATTATTTATAATTTTTCTCATAATCAAATGCTTTTGTATTATTCTTTACAGGTGGATGATATGTTAGAGGAAACAGTAATATTAGCTCTCTATACTCAATTTTTTTTTTAAATCTATATTCCTTAATATAATTTTTCTTTTACCTTTCAAATGCATTTCTATATATACACAAATTCAGTTTCTTCAAAACAGAAATGTCAGTGTTGTGATTCATAATGAACGGGACTTCAATGTCCTCTGTGTTCGTGGGGTAAGCCCACTAATCAAACTTATTTGCTTCAATATTTTTCCTTAATAATTTTTGCTTATTTTTTGAAAGGCAAAGGCAACGATAAGGGCAAAGGAAAATGATAAACTTAAAGGAAAAGGAAAGGAAAACTACTCAAGAAAGGAAATAAAAAATACACAAGTGGTATGGTTATTTTCAAGTTTGTTTTGGAGCATGTGTAAAAAAATCATGGGGGAATGTGATATTTTGAAGCATGCATAATCTGTGTAATTTTTTTTTACTGTAAAGTTTGTGAAGATGGGCATCGTGCTTTCAATCCTTAATATTACTAATTCCCAAACTAAATTATGCATCCTTAAAAAACAATACATCAAAAAAAATTATACAGGATCTTTTACAAAGATATATAAAATTTTCCAATTAGAAGAGGGAAGTAACTAAAGTTTAAAGTGTATTTTAATTAAAATTTTCTTTAAATTATGATCAGGTCAAACTTTTGTAGGATTGGGTTGAAAAAGCTATGGAGCTCAAGAGGATAAATAAGACTACATTACTCCGATAGAATTGTAATAAGGTATCCTTACTCCATATTATTTCAATATCTATTTTTCGTATTGTTTCAATATGCTAATGTTATTGTCTTTTTAGATTGTTGTGCATGCTCCTCACTGGAAAAAATACACAGAAGTTGATACATGGACATTTCAGAATGTGATGGAGAACAAGTTTGAAGGCGAACAAGCGCCCTAGAGGCGTCCAAGTACTTTTTTGTAAAAGAACAAGTTTGAAGACATTATATGGCATACATTTTGCAAAGTTGACAAATATTTTGTAAAATATATCCTTGATGTTAACCACTTTTGTGAAGCTTCCTACCGATATATACTTCAATAGATTTCTAATATTTTTGTAAAGTCTCTTATC